TTCTCCAGGTGGGCATATATGGGATAAACGCAGCACATGGAGCAGCTTTGGTGGAGCAGATTCTGGTATTGTAGAGGTGTACCGACCCGAGCGGAGAGAAAAGGAGATGGACAGCATACCGCTACGAAATGCTATGCCGAAGGAAACCCATGACTCTTCGACTAAGTCCGGCTTGGGGGTCACCGGAATCCCAAAACCAACCACAGGAGAATTTCCTCCTCGAAAGGAAGTGAAAACCAGCTCCGTTGGGCCGCTGCCGCATAGAAGCGCTGCATCAGAAACAAGAGGAAGTGTGATGAAGGAAACGCTGGTCTCGGGCAATGCATCCTATCATAGCAACGATATAGTACCTAAAATGCATTGTCCCGACGTTACCATACCGCAAACTCCAAGGCTAGCATTCAACTCCCCAGTTTATCATTCCCCGAAGTTCAGCCCAGCTATTGCACCCGCTGAACTGTATCCACCTAGTTACGGAATGTACCCGATGAATCCTCGACTAAATGTGTCAACCCCAGCTTTAGTTGGACCTAATTCTTCCCAGAAACCGCTTAACATGCCATCAACGCCAACACTTAACAGGTCCGGCAGCCTTAGAAGATCCCTGGATTCCGCTCTGTTGAAACCTCCATATCCACATCATCGACAAAACCACTACTATCATTCCAATGATACGTACAAATTTGAGCCCACCCCAGCATATCCTGCGCAACCGGCGCATCCTGGACCGGTCTACTTCCAGCCGTATCCAGCTTCACCAAGACCATCAGTTTCCACATACTCGTCAGGCACGCCCCGGAGACTGACGGACAAGATGCTTCCTCCTATTCCACCGCAAGATCCCCAGCAAGTTCTCTTCGAAGCAGCAATGCGGCTAAGAGATAGTCAAATTAGCTCTTATTCGGCACAGTGGCAACACAATGCCCATTTATCCCCCCTTCCCGCAACTTACCAATCTTCGCCTTGGATATGAGGTTTGATTTTTTTTTTTTTTTTTTAGAAAAAAAGCAATATTGTATACCCTATTTCATTCGCCTAATCTCCAATCCGGGCCTGAAACATTATATTCCTATTTTGCCTATCTGACAGGATTTGTCAGATCCTTTCTTGACAGAATATCTCCTTGGTTTGAATGGGACCGGTCCCTCTGGTTATATCTCTTCATATTTGGAGCTGGATGCTCGTTCGTTCATTCTCTCTATCCCCAGCTACATTTGACATGTTAGCCATATTTTCTGTATTGCCTGGGGCATACGATGTTATTACTTTCGCTTATGTCGATTAATCCCCCGTTGGCTGGCTAACATGCAACTCTCCTTTGATGTCCCTTTTAAACGCGTATCACACAGTCTTTTTAGATACAAATAATTGGTTTATCATATGTCACGATAAAATATTGAATACGGTTGGTTACATGATTTCCGAGCTTGGAAAGAGAGTTGAAAATTGAGTATTCATTTGCCTTTCTATAAATGGCAGTCCTCTATTTTGTGAAATCCGAAGTATTATACATATACAAGTTATCTAACCACGCTAGAAGACAACGTTAATGACCTTTCCACTTCCCACAACAACGACTCGTTTGCGTTTATCCCAATTATTTTTCTCCTGGAGCCAAACCTTTCCTTCTTTAGTCTGGAGAACGTGAGATAATATCCACTCCTGCTCTTGTTCCTTGCTGATTGACTCTGGGGTGGCACTGTTGCCCGAAAAGGGTGGCACAGACGCAGTGAACCGGAGTTTCCCATTGACCTGAACTGCTACCGTCTTCGCTCCACGAGAGCGAATTTGCTTGATATCCGATTCCGACAAGAATTCAGACGGCCATGGAGAAGATAGGACCCATGGAACAGTGTCAACGCGTTCAAAAAGAGGCTTGTGTAGTACTTCCCAACATTCTGAAGCGAAAGCTGGGGCAATCGGCGCCAACATGCGTAGCAGAGAATTTAGTGCGATGTATAGGGTTGTATGTAAAGGTGTGACAGATTGTGCTGAAGGAGATGTTTTCGATGATTCTTCAGGTAAAGGCACGGCTGAAATCGCGTTGGTGAGTTTTATCAGATCTGATATGACTGTATTAAGGCCGTATTGATTCTTCTCCAGGCAGTATGACACCGATGATATTGTGTTGTTTGTCATATGAAGGAGGTTGCTCTCAGTTTCCGAGAGCTTGTCTAGCGGTGGCAGGGCCATGTCATTCAAAGATGAAAGAGCATCAGGGGCTGATGAGAAGTTTGCCCTTTTGAGCGAGTTGCCGGTATCTTCCACGGCCTTCCATATGCGACTGAACCATCTTTGAATGCCCACAATCTTGGTTTCATCCCACTCTAACACTTCGCTGACAGGGGCAGAGAAGAGAACATGAGCACGCGTAGCATCTGCTCCATAACTCTCAATACAAGTATTCGGGTCTACTCCGTTATACTTACTCTTTGACATCTTCTCAAAAGATATGTTAGCGGGAATTTGGGTCCCAGTGAGCACTGGGGGGCCTTTAACAGAAAGGTCAACTTCACCCGGCCGTAAGAATCGACCAGTCTTAGGATCTGAGTAGGTCTTGCCATGAACCATGCCTTGAGACAATAGTTTGAGGAATGGCTCTGGGGGTTCCGCAGCATTTTCAATCTTGCCTTCCGCAGCAAGAAATTTGAAGATGAACCGAGAATAAAGAAGGTGGAGAATAGCATGTTCTATACCTCCTATGTATATGTCCACAGGGCGAGATTTCGAGGGCGACACCGGCAAATCGTTGTTTTTTGGGTCCAAGAATCTTAGGAAATACCACGAGGAGTCCACAAATGTATCCATGGTGTCAGTGTCTCTCGTAGCTGGTCCCTTGCAGCTTGGACATTCAGTGTGTAGCCATTCGTCTGCCGACTCCAGAGGATTTCCTGTCTTGTCTTTCAGTTGAGACCCTGGAATAGCAGGAAGTTCAACTGGTAACTGACTAGCAGGAACCGGCACAGCCCCGCAGCTGTCACAATGAATAATCGGGATCGGGGCACCCCAATATCGCTGCCGACTGATAAGCCAATCTCGTAGCCTCCAATTCTCGGCAAATCTAGCACGGCTTCCTTTATCCTTCAGGTCATTGATTATTTTTTCACCAGCGGTTTTTGAGGGCATCTTGCTATAAGACCCGCATATATCAGTAGTTTGTCCATGCCCTGAAAACGCCGAGTCGGCACCGTGTTTATCATTGGAGTCTGGGCCTGTTTTCAATGGCATAACTACGGAAACAATAGGTTCTGAAGGAGAATTTTCTTTCCAAAATCCGAAATCACGAGAGTCATGCCCAGGGACCCCCATGACCGCCCCCTCTCCGTAATCTGGGAGGACGTAAGGTGCAACATAAACTGGAAGCGAAGATGGTAAATGAGGGTTTCTTTCAAGATGATAAATTGGGTTGATAGCCTTGACTCCAGGCAGTTTGAATCCTGCCTTCGTCTCAGGCGGTAGTGAACCGGTGGAATTGATAAATTCCTGGAGCTCCGGGGTGTTGGCAGCCATTTTCTTTACCACTGGATGGCTGGTCGACAGTGCGATATACTGAACGCCATGGAGTGTGTCAGGACGGGTGGTAAAAACTTCGATATCAAGAGTTTCTCCCGGAATTGATAACGTAAATGGGACAAGGGCACCTCGCGACTTTCCTAGCCAGTGTCTTTGCATTGTCAGAATCCTATCCGGCCAGCTGCCAGATAATGAGTCGAGGTCCTTAAGCAATGCTTCTTTAAAAGCAGTTATCCGGAAAAACCATTGTTTTAACTCCCGTTTTTCGACTTTCGCGCCAGACCTCCAAGAGCATCCATTGGAGTCAACCTATTTTTGGGGAGTATATTTATCAGCCGCGAACGCTTCACCAATTCGCAAAGGTAGTTGTTAATACCTGTTCGTTTGCCAAAACTGTTTTGTCAACGGGATCGTAATTCACAACGGCTTCCGCTTGGTACGCAAGGCCTTTTTCGTGAAGCATTAAAAACAGTTTCTGGGTATGTTTGTAAAACTCAGGCGAGCAAGTCATAACTTCCTATAGTATAGTAAAAAAATACCAATTAGCATCCAGTCGATTATCCAAGTTCCATGTGATCTGATAAATTTATTAAAAGGGATGCTGTACCGTATCCCAATCGAATCGTATACCCAAATCTTTCAACTGATTCCTCATATTCGCTATGTTTTGTTTTGTCCAGCCTTCGGGATGGATCCCTCGTTCAATGGCAGCATTTTCAGCGGGGAGCCCAAAAGCATCCCATCCCATAGGATGTAGAACATCATAGCCTTTCATCTGTTTGAACCGAGCTAGAACGTCGGATATCGTATACACTCGAACATGGCCCATGTGTAAGGTTCCGGATGGGTAGGGGAACATGGGCAGCACGTAGGCCTTTTCCTTGCTACTGCTCATCAATCGAACCGAAGCCTCCCTGCCCTCCCATAATTCCTTCCATCTTTTATCAATGGCTAGAAGGTCTAGCTTCTTAGACGGCTGGTTGGCATTGGCATACGTGCTTGCGGTGCGAACAGGGAGACTCCGAAACCTCCATAGAAGGTGATGCGAGACCGTAGGTGGTCCGCCAAATCGAACATGGCCTCGAATAGCACAGGGAACCCACATCGCAGCCCCAGCTCATTCTCTTTGAAGGTCTCCTCTCCCCGGCTCTCCATGAAGGAAAAAAAGGCAAACGATGCGCTCAAACGACCTTCAGATGACTCGTTCCTGCGCCATTCCTATCTTGGCTAGTGCAGATCTTATCAGATTGATAACAGTTAGGTACCCACCTGAGTTACTTGTAGCGACCTGGAAGGCACAGCTGGAATAACTAAATGAATGTTAGTCTCCATATCCCCATCATTTTATTAGGTTACAGTTACGAGGTTGCTACTACGTCTTACTCTCACATCAAGTCATTAACCATTGAATTAATTATTGCTACGTAGGGCTAGAAGTAACCATCCGATCTAAACTACTATACAAAGTTGAACTCCTGTCAGCTCGCCTACCCCCAAGGACCCCTGAATCTCTTAGAGGTATCTGCCCTAAAATGGGCAGTCAAAGTTATGTTTCCGGCCTTCTCAAGCTTCAATTTGGCATTTGTCTCTTTTCGACTCAATTGGCCAATATGCTTCGCTCGGATAGCAAGCAATGATCGTAGCTCAGGATTGGACAGATGCGCTAAACCTTCCCGATCGCCTCGACTGAGTTGTAATAACTGGGTACGGGAAGCCGAGGTTGGTTTATCGTCTTCAGTTTCAGTACCCGCTTGTTCGTTTGTTGCCTTGGGCAGCGACAGAGGAGGAGAATCTCTGCGCCCCAGCGATTGACGATATTTATCAAACGCTCGAGTGCGATAGCCGCGAATTCTAACTGGAGATGGCCGCAGTAATGGGCTAATACCTGCAACTTTTGTTTTATTGTGTGCCTCGCGGAAATTATAAAAACCAGAAGTGTGCGAAGTAATGTCGAATCTGCAATGGCCCTTCGCCATCATGTGGTGTTGGATACCTTCAATCGTTCTTCGACGAGTAGAGCACAATATGCACCTGTGGTACTCGAAAATTTCAAGGTATAGGTATCTGAGAAGGGATGTGATGTCGGTGTCCAGGTGATCTTGATATGGTATGATGAAGCTATGCGCCTTTGACATGTGGAAAATATTGTCATCAAATGATGTCCTTGCTTCACCACAGAAAAGGCATTGCTCAGGATCAAACTCCAACGACCAAGGATGCTCTTCGTCTGTTTCATCTGAGTCATCTTCAGAAAGGGAATCATGATCTGGGCTGATGGTCTTTGCCCTTGACTGTAAGGGCAATATAGTGCTTCCAGGCACTGCTACTCGCAGGCGAAGATTATGTATGCTGTAGAAATGTTAGAGATCTGTTTCGTGTTCTCTTTCTTTTTTCAATGAGAAGATAAAGCTTACTGTAATTCACTCCTCGCATGCTGTCGCCAAGCACCTGGGCTATCAAGGCCTGTATCGCATATTCTGCAAGATGAAGGGAACTTGGCATCCATATCTGCTAGTGGCTGTTCGCAGGCTGCTCCGACGTTAGCCAGTTTTATGGTATGAGATGTAATCCTTCACTTGGACGTAAGGGAGCTGGTAAGGGCGATTGTCAGGGGTCGAACTTTGATGGAAAGATCTTGACTACTCGACAAAGGTCGAGTCGACCCCGTAGTATATATACCATCTTGAGGCAGAGATGGGAATATAGAATGTATCGTGATTTTCGCTTCGCCTGGAAGGCACACGTTGCCACCTCTCCTTGTTGTTCATGAAGACGCCGGATGAGCAATCATGAATCATCAGTTCGGATCCACAAAATCTTGGGCTCAGAGGTTAACTACTAAATTTAGCTACTGCCTAGGCCCGAAAGCTTGCCTCCCAGATCGCTTCCAATCGTATAAAGGACATAAGAGCAGGAGCTTATGTGCAGCCTACAGCCAACTTACCTGCGAGAATATATTTTGATAACTTCGCTGTACGTACTATATGGCGTTGAAAAAGCTATATACACAAAACATCTGGAACATATCTATATACGCAGCACCGTACCATCTCCATCTATACCTCCACGGAAATGGTCCTTTATCACACGACCATTCAAAATCGTCTCTTTTATGATTCCCTGCACATGCTTCGGCTCTACCCTACCATACCAGATAGCCTTCCCAGCCAACGCGTTAACATCCCCCGAGTTGGATCTTGGGGAACGGGGTATGTATATAATAACGTTGCCAGCATATTTATGGCCGCCAATATGACTTATCAAGCCAATATTCGCGTGATTCAACCTATCAACTGGGGTATTTCCCACAGTGTAACCTTCATCTTTTAGTACTCTGCTAAATTCCGACTCCAGCAAAGGGCCCATAACTCCACATCGTTTGTCTCGACCTCCGTGTCCACAAATCAAAATCGTAGGCGAGTGATCTATGCTCTTCACAGACTTAAATGTAGGTTGAAGTTCCGGGAGCCTTTTCATTGCTTCCAATTTATCGACAGGTAAATTTCGTGCGCTCTATGGGGAACTATTGGGAGGAGGAATGCGCGAACGAATCGATCTAATCCAGCATCATCAAGTGGGATATCAGGAATGTACTTGAAGCTTGGAAAAAGCAGGGCTGAAGCGCGAGATGTATCTGACTTATCGGTCGAGGGAATGAAGGAGGAATTTGTAATGACAATGTTATTATAGGGCTATAAGTTCAGAAATTGCTGATTAGGATAACGCTCTTTGGAAATGATTTGGATAAGGGGCAAGGGAAAACTGAGGAGCAATTTACATCAGCAAACTTCCCCGTCCGAAACATTAGTTTCTTCAATCTGCTGCCCAGTATACCCCATCCCTGATCTAGCCCATCCTCCTCTATTCGGCTTCGCCAATCTCGTTGTCCGGTGGATATGAGAACTTGTTGGGCGTAAGGCGCCATGGTGCCGTTAAGATCTTGGTCATGGTCAATTTCGAGGCCGGCAGGCGTTGCCGTACAAGAGCACGTCGGCTCGGGGCATGACTGCACGACGGGGAACGGTGGAGGAATAGGAATTGAGATGCGTCGTGAAGTTGAATATCGGTTACAATGTATTTGCCCAACACGAAAACACTGACCGCGTATTCCGCGCATTGTAATGTCCCTTATCTTCTCTAGAGTCAGAAGACTTGGGTTTACTCTTTGCGCATTAATTATTGAAGAAGGTAGGTAAGAATCCGAGTCTTCTTGTGAAGTGAAATTTCAGTCGCGTTGACGTCGCGAGTTTTATCTCCGCACCGATCGGGAATAACTAACGGGGTTTCGGCGATAACTAACTACCGTGCCTCATCAATATACATTAAAGCATTATACATAGTTTAATCAGCCTCGAAAATACTTCAGTTAGTAAAAACACACTTGCTAAGGAGAAGAAAATCAGCATATTACAAAGTAATAATTAAAAGCGCTCAAGATGCTCCATCACTCCTATACCCCGGTCTGTCCATCTCTTAATGCATTTTAGGCGAAAACGACACCAACGCCTTTGAAGATTCCGTCAGCGGCCAAAACTGATAATAGAATAATCCCACCCCAGCAAACAGAAGGATATAGTACGCGACGCTCCAACCAATTCCAGTTGCCTCATCGACCCTGCCAAATATGTTCTCGTCCTCATCGAATTTGGCGGCCCTGATTAGAGTGCTCTCGATCGGAATTGATGTCTCAACACGGCCCCATAGGCGAGGTAGGCCGCAGTAATTGCAGAATGAATGCACTAGCATAACGGCTAGAAGGGAATCTGTTCTCAAGTAGAGAAAGGTGGCATACCATCCAAATATGGTGGTATAAGTGAACTGGAAGAGCGAACGGACAAAAACTGGGATAAGCGGAGTGTCTGGCTGCGCTAGCTTGGTTTCGTAGAAATGGTTAATATGCGCAATACCGAAATATAGGGGAGTCAGAAACACGATCCGCCCCGGGGACATCTTCGCCATTAGATGAAATACGATGATAATAGACCGGAAAGTTATTTCCTCAGTGATGGGGCCCTACTCGTTCATTAGCTTATGATGTGCTGCGGCATTACACAGAAAAGGGGGATCTTGACTGACAGCAACGTAGTTTCTCCATCCTGTCCAGGAACGAAGAGTTTGGACCAGTGTTCGTCCCCTAACCCAGTTCCTCCATCTACCTTCGGCAATTCCCATTTCAAATAATGGACCCATGAACAACAAGGCTGTGAGCAAAAGACTCTTTCCGATTTCCAGCAGTCCAATCGGCCACCATCCTAGGAGTTGAAGGGCTTCTAGCGGAGTACTCCTCCCACTACGGACGATGAAATAGAACGTGGCCACGCTGCAGCAAAGGCATGACACCATCACAGCTCGGATACGGGCTTTGATCAGTGACGGCGCATCACGGCTCAATGTTGGCCCTGGCCGAGTCGCCTTGGAGGTATACAATGGAGCAACATATAAAATCGTGCATAGTATCTATTGATAGCAGTTAGCACATTCCCATGCCTCGAATCGAAACATATGCGGTCAAATCGGATTTACTTGCATACGTACCGAACACCAAACAGCAGTGGCCACTGAAATAAGAGGCTCAGGTTCTTGATTCTATTATCAGAACATCGTCTGTATACTCTAAAGCAACCAACTACAGCATCCTCCTCCCTCTTTGGTCCTCTACTGCCACGTACCTTTGTCACCATGATAGTAATGCCTCAACCTCTCGAAGAGACCGGAGGCCATGTTTCCAACCTTCATTAAGACAGGGCTTTCCAATGAAGCCAGGTCCAGGTTCTCACAAGGCAAGGCAGCAAGGCAAACTCAAGAAACAGGATTGTGCAGCCACAGGGAGTCGACAACTACTGTCTCGGGGCGCGAAGACGGAGTTTTCGAGCTGGTCGCCCAAAGCGTGGCCTTAAACTGGCAAGGGTCATGTGCCTTGGCGGTCTGGACCTTTAACTATTATTTCCCTCACAAAGGGCTTTCCTTTCCCTACTTCTATTATTATATAATCCACATTATGTAATGCTAATTACATAATTCATCACGTGAACAAACAAGTCTCGTTTAGGTTAGTCCTTCTTGTTTCAGCCTTTTCAGCCAGCGACTCCTGACCAACAGCGCCGGCGGCACTGGCGGATTTCCAAACACAACAGCTCCGTTTATCCAGCGCCAGAAGAGACAAAGTGCGCTGGAAGATGGAGAACAGTTAAAAGGGTCCGAAGGCCCGAGAATGGGTTTATTTCTTTTTCCCATAAAAGCGAACACAGTCCCGTTCCCAGTCTCCTGGATTGTGGACCGGAATTTCGCTTGTCTTTGGGGGTGGAGTGCCTGGTTGCCAATCCTTTCTGAGTTTACCAGGAGCAATAACAAAAAAAATTCAATGCCGTGCCTCCTTCTGCAAGGGGAACCCTCGCCGCGAATGAGAAGTTGAAGAATGTTGATGACGGCGCTCCAGGGCTGGCAGACGTGCAGGAGAAGAAACGGCATGTTCTCCAAGTGGGTACATCACAGTGAGTGGCATGAAATAGCAGCGCACACAGCATATGCTTCGTTGACATTTGCATCTGCTCCATCAGACAGCTGTTGGGCTGGTTGTACAGAGTCCCACTAAAATAAACAAATACAGGGAAGGACTCGAGATACAGGGTACTGCTGTACCTGTTTCCAAGCACTTTACGGAGGACAATAGCTCATATATATTTGGGTTACAAGGGCTTCGTTAATCCTCCAATAGCCTCTCATATCGTGACATAAATAATTTGAACTTGTATTTCCATCTTCAGGACATATTCTTCCGAATCGTCCGGATTCGGGACTTTTAAGGTGTGACACACGGGCGATCATAGCTTGAAGAACTGGAAAATGAGATCACTATCGAATAATAAATGCCAGTTATATACCATATGGTATAGAAGTTATCACATGGGGTAAGCGTGGTCATGAAAAGTGAGGCGAGTCACAAAATATTCAGGGGAAAAAAGTATGTTTTCCGTTGTTGAGCCAATTGTACCGCGAGGAAATGGTGGCGTTTAAAATCTTTGGCTAGGAGACGAAGTTACAGAACGACCTGCATGAAAGTGAAAACCAAAAGCGACCTCGTAGTCATGGCTTGTTCATGCACTGTACCTCAACTCAAGCACCTAGGTATTCTAGATAGTCTGTATCAAATCCAAACATGCCTCTCTTCTTGCTTCAGATCAGTGTTAGGCATTATTAAGAGGCCTAGCATGTAAGCACCCATCGGAGAAGTCAATGGCGTGAACCGCGAGCGCCAGGGCTGAAAGCAGGTCTCACTCTCAGCCATCCACAAAGCCACTTGCTTCACCATAGAACCGGCTCTCTTCAAGGCTTTGACTGGGGGCTGTATTTCTTCTTTCACGATAAAATTCAGCCTTCTTGCTGTATAAGTATATGCTCGACAATCGCAGAACCGACAAACACTGCTCAACCAAGCAACCCTACCCTGTCGCTCCAGATGCCATTCCCAGCGTTTACACGAGCATATGAAAAAATAAAAAAAAAAAAATTTATGGCATAAGTTGTTTGTTTACACTATTTTGTCTAATGTTTTTCCTCTTCTCTCCACCTGTCTCTAATTTAATCTAAATATTGTTGATTGCTGGAGAAAAAAGCTCTGTTGATTAAGTCATAGTGGGTAATCCTTATATTGCTACCATTCTAAGAAGTGGGTCTGGCGTGGTGACTTCTGGCAGCCGACTGTAACAAGGTACGCCGAGTGGAGCACATCGTCCCCCTTCTGCAAACTCCGTACAACGACGCGCATCTGCTCGACCCCAACCAGTCAAGACGTGCGTGCCCGACCCAGGGTTCTTTCCGCAGCCGACCCAGCTCTGCAGCTGTCCTTCAACCAGCGCATCTCTCGCCCATCCTTTTGCCTGTGTTTGTTTTCAACCATTATCAACAACATCATCTTGTTCTTCTTCTTCTTCTCATCCTCATCATCGCCCTCCCCAGCACGACCTGATCTATATTTATCTTATCTTGATCTTATCTCGATTTCTGCCAGTGTGGGTCCCCAACTTTAAACTCAAAAGAAACGGCCCGCTCACCGCCCTCCACGTACCTGATGACTAAGACCCCGTGACTGCCTTGCGCTCTTTCTCCCTTTTTCATCTCGGCTGAGCGAATCTTCTTTTTCTCTCCAACATCAACTCTTCGACGTCTCTCGGCTTTTTCGTTCTTCGTTCTCTCTTTGCCATTGTTTCTTGTCTGTCGTTCCCTTCTTCACAGTCGCTCTTTATATATATTCATATAATTCACCCATAATTCTACCCATTTAATAAGCTTTCTCCGTGCCACCCAATTAGCACACCACGCTCACTCTAAATTTAACCGCCTTTGAAACACTTCCAGCATCAGTCTTTCAACTGCAGCCCCCCCAGAGTCCAGCATCCAGCTCCTTAAGGCGGCTATTCTCTAGACGCCCTGCCATTCATTTATTCATTAATTCGTTCTTCGACGCTCACTGCGAGACCATTCCTGCTTCGATTCTTCAGCCTTAATTTCGGGATCCTTCACCCTCTAGAGCCGCCATATCAGCACTCCTTTCTCTAGCCGTTCGTGGAGCATTTGTTCTTATATTCTTGTTTCTATATATATTCTTTCCAACTCTACATACTATCACCGTTCTCCCCCCCCCCCCCCTTGGAGATTTTTTTTTTTATTTTTTATTTTCAACGGCCCGTTTTCCCGTGGAGTAATGCGATGAGGAATAAGTCGAGTTAGGGCCCACGATAATGTCTTTATCTTCCCCTTCGTCTAGAAGGTCAACACCAAAACGCCGTCCACTCCATCAACGAACAAACTCGCAGAACAATGTTGTCTCCCCGCCCTCGCCTGTCCGTCCAGTTTCACCGACGCTTCGACTGGTATCAAACAAAACTGACTACTCGGAGGATGATGATGTCTTCAGCAATCCAGACGATGTTGACATATACTCTGCTAACCCATATCCTACCAAACCCGCTCATGTGCTACTGCCTCTAGGTTCCTCATCTGCTAGAGGCCGTATAACTAGAAGCGGGACTCCTTCAACAATTACTCCCTCTAATACCTGGAGTTCCAGGCCCAGTGTATCTCCGGACCTAGAATCCTCCAGTTCCAGCCAACAACCCACCGGAAGCGCCTCGGACCTTTCCACCTTTATGGGAAACACTTCAAGCGCAATATGGGGCCAGGATCCAAAGTCGAGCAACACCACTGTCGCTCGCTCAGTCACCCCACAGGCCTCAGAGAGTGGTGATAGTGGTAACGATAATGACCAGGAGAAATATTCTGACCGCAGTAGCGTAACCGCGCTTCCAAGGCCTGTTGCCACTACTATCAAGTTAGTCAATGAGCGGGAACGAGAATTTTCACGATCAAGCCGTACGCCTCCAAGCAGATCTCCTCCATCTGACGGCTCCCTCCTAATCGGATGTTCTATTACTCGTGGCCACTCGTCCTCCTCAAATTCGTCCTCAAATGTTGCCCGGATTGGGTATACATCCAGCCCCAACCTAGTGCCGTTGAACAGTTCGTCGCCAAATTTGCTTCCCATTGGCTCTTCTCCTAACGTTGTCAGGGCTCGCGCTTCTGAGTCTTCGTTGTTTTCAGCAAATTCGTTTGGAACGGCGATAAGGTATATCCGCAATCGAGGAGGGCAGAACACTACTTCAGAACCAGCATCTGCGACCCGATCTGATTCCCATACTCCGTCCATCCCCTCAAGCCCCCCTGTCCCAGTGCTAAGGTCATACCAATCCACATCAACACTTGATCTCAATGCGCGGTCAAGCCAAGGGAATGTTTCCTTACCCAGCATGCCATCAGATATTGATATTCAGGCCGTTATGGACAGCGGAATTCCTATACAGTACCCAATATTACGTCCACCCTCGTCGTCCGGCTCGTACGCAGAAACGTCCATGGTCTCCATTCCAGAGCCGTTGGCAGTAGCCCGCCCTCCAACTCGACGGTGGAACCCGGACTTGTCCTCCGTCTCGTCTGACATGTCAGTTCCAATGGATGAGCGACACAATCTTCCGTCATTATCCCTTGATGGTACCCAAGGGAGATCCCGACAGGTGACTGAAACTGAGCAATCTTGGCTCTCCGCACGCCAGCAATCCGAGATGCCAGATTATTCAGTAATGGATGAATCCGAGATGGATGAGGTTAGCGACCGCATTACTCATCTTCATGCCTTGCGTGTTCTAAAGCATAAGACATCCGCCACCCTCAGCTATCGGTCATCCCTCTCAAGGCGAGGCTCTCTAAGCCGGTCGGGGTCAACAGCAAGTCAATTTCTAACTACTATACCCCAGTGGGCAAAGCTATACTATCAAGGTGGAAACCTCGCCTTCCTTTCGGCTGTTTCTCTAGTTGATGTTAGCAGACCAAATACCCCACGAGAAATCCCTGCTGTGACTCAGGTTTCCTACTCAGAACCCTTGGAGGAAGTATCAAATCAAGCTGTAGTCCGTGTACCGCCTGGAAATATCTCACGCCCCCGAACACGGCCTCGCCGAGCGAGCCAGCCTGTACAACGACAAGACCAGCCAGAGTCACAGCCAGCACGGCGGCAGGAATCGATGCCGATACCAGAAGCAGAAATACAAGTGGAGCAATCGGAACAAGCCCAGGTTGAGCCTAAACCAAAAGCCATCCGACGAGACTCTCGTGATCCAAGAACGCATTGGGCCGGTATTGTTGGAGAAGATGAGATTACACCTCAGCCCTCTCGCGAAGTGACACCCAGGGGCGTCTGGTCACCACATCTGTATACAGATAAACGGTTCCGTTCAACTGAGAGGAAAATATGGAAGGCTCCACCATACGACGAATCTGGCGAATATATATGGAGTAGACGAAACATGCAGGTGCTCAGTTTTTGCTTTGGTTTTATCTTTCCATTAGGTATGTTTACAACTCTTTGTTGCCAAGTTTGTCCATCTATTCTAATATCTTCATCCACAGCCTGGTTGATTGCCTCGTTTCTGCCTTTGCCAATCAAGCCACCATCTGTTGAGAACGGAATGCCAGGGCAGCCAGATATTGAAAAAGCAGCTGCTCACCGAGCAGTCCTGGCTGATAATTTACGTTACGAAAATGCCCGATGGTGGCGGAATCTGAACCGTTGCATGACACCAGTTGGCTTGTCAATCATTATAATAGTTGTATGTTTATTAAAAATTTCTCCATACATTTATAACCCCTTTACTAACATCCATAATAGATCACACTATCCGTTCTTGGATCACGAAACGCCCTATGATACATGACCTCGTTTTTGATTTCATGTTGTAAAACAACATTAATTAGTACTTATGCCCTTACGCTTCTAATACGGCAACGGATCTCTATATGGCACGTTTATATATACATATCCAACCGTTTTATGGTCCCACGTTTTCTATGATGGTTTGGCTTTTTATATTCGCTTTCTTTCCCCAATTTTCGTCTTTTGCGTCTTACCAAAACAATGCACGTTAAGGAGAATGATTTCTCCTTTATACGATTTAACGAAAGCGCGCAAATCCCTTGCTTCCGTCTTTACTTTCGGGTCCTTTCACCTGCATTATACTTCTATTGGCCTTTATTTGATTCCCCCTTTAAACCCTACTGTGTATACCTTATTACCTTATTTGTTATTTTCAGCCCTATTCCCACCACACATTCGCCTACACTTATGGCCCCCTTTTTCATTCGTCGAAACTACTAGTTTCTGGTTCTTCAACCACCTTTTTCTTGCCCTTCGACTTTATACCATATTTCGTCACCCACCTTCTTCTTCTCCCCCTTTTGCGATCAAATTGCCAAACTCAACACTTGCCTTCTTCTATACGCACTACGCTTATAAAAATTGCAATCCCTCTTGTCACTATATATCCCTGCGAGGTGGCTTGATACAATATGCTGAAAATGGATGTAAAAAAAGCCGATTAATATTTGAAAATACGTTTTCGTTCTTCTATTTCTGGCAATGTTCACCACACTATGTCAGCCCTCCCCATCCTTCTCTATGATGACGTGTTATTACTTCTTCTCTACTCTGATGACCAACCGAAATCAAACCAATTATTCCAGTGATGGCTCGCTGTGTGCATAGTAGATGTTGTTCTAAGGTATAAAGATAGGGCGTGCTTCAAAATCGCTGAGATCCTAGGAGAATAAGCAACCAAGATAAGCCACCAACCATCCTCCGTCCTCTCTAATTAGGGCATAACAGTAGCAAAGACGCATGCAAAACAAAGGGAGTAGTAGAATGATTTAAGGCCAGGATATAGCCCTGCGGAACCATCCAACATTATTATATCTCATTACGGCATGTTAAAAGGGAGCCTTGCCTAGCTTCTGCTCAAGGATGTTCCGCAGTTCTGCACCAGTAGGCATCGTGACCACACTGCCACGTCGTCTCCTGGTTTCGATCTCCTTCTTGATCTCGTTCACGGCGTCTTCAACGTCCTGCGCCAAATCATTGGGCAGGCCGAGGGGTTGCTCGGTGTATGGTGTTTGGCCGGCCTGCACCTCCCTGGCATCAGCCTGGGCCTTCTCCCTTGCTCTGACAGCAGCAGCTTCATTAGCGGCTTGTCTATCGGATGGTTTGCCAGGTACTTCTGCATCCTTGCCAGTAGCAACCTTGTTACGTTTGTTTAGCTTGCGGATTAATTGGGCTTTTGCGGGGCTGTTAAAGAAAGTGAGTGTGGCGACGATGCCAATTATGATGTAAAAGTAGACGCGGCCCCAGAGGGTGGTGCAGTCAGTGAAATCCAGAAGGATGAATGGAGCGATGGTGAAGCTCATTGTGAGCTGGGTTGCGAGCCAGCTGATGATGTCATAATAAATCTTGAAACCAGTTGGAGCAGTGCCGTCAGGGGTAAGGAAAAAGGGGCGAACATGACGGCGGAAATCTAAACACGATTGTTAGTATTATTGGTATTCAAGGGAAGCTAAGATAAAATAAATGGAAAAAATATGACGTACGTTTGGCGCTTGTTTGAACAAAAGAGCCCAGAATGAAGGTCAGGTAGTAACCTGGGTAGAAGCCATGCCAGATAGCACTGGTAGCAAAGGTAGCCAAGCTTGCACGGAAGCCGGGTTTCTTCCCCTTTGGAGTGACGCGGAGGTAGATATAGTTTCGCAGCCAGTGATTTGTGTTCTTGTTCCAGTTGGCGAGGAACGCATGGGGGTTCTGGGCGGTCTCTAGACCGTAGGCGTTGACGTTCTCGAGCTTATTCCAGTACACCTGTCCTGTATTGCGGTCGACGCCGTTGTATCCCATTCCAGAGAGGATACAAGCACCTTCAGTCAGGGACCAAACACCATAGTACTTCAACCTTGCCGCGAAGCCAAACACATACAACACCCAAATCTTCCTGAAGAAGCTGTAGGCGGCGAATTCGTCGCTCAGCAGCAAGTTGGTAGTATAGATGGGCGCAAACACAATGAAAGCACCGATGAACGCTAGTCCCATCGCAGCCTTCAAAGCAGCTGGTCTGCCGCTCCTGGGTATCTTTCTCTTCTTCCGCGTGGGAGGTGCCTTGGACGGATCAATACCAGGAGGCAAGTCGAACATACTAGTTTCAATCCACCGTCGGTACTCGACGTAGTCGAACGCTGGGCCTGCAAACAACGAGGGGAAGAACAGCACGTATCCGGCAAAATCAAGCAAGCTGGGGAACTCCTTGATGGCAGCGTGTTTCTGGGCCTCACTAAGTTGGCTATCAGGCAGTCGGCCGTCATGCACGTTCCAGCAGAACGCACTCAGTTTCATGACCAGCACCATCTGAGCACCGGTGACGTCGACGGAAGTAGGGTCATTGATGATTTGCCTAATTATATGACTGACGGACATGTATCCGATAAGGTATGTGAAGCCAACCCAGGGCATCATGGACCCGTCGACGTAGTATGCGATTGCATATGCTCCTGCGGAGCAGTAGAGGAGGGTGCGGACGCCATCCCAGAGATCAAAGAGACCGACCAGGTAGAAGAGCGAGACGGCGATGATGAAGGCGTTTTTCTTCCAGGGTTGAGAGTCCGGGAGTCGCTTTAGTATAGCTGCGAGGGGGTACGAGAGGAGGAACGAGGTAATGAGTTTTACTACTGTGAATTAGAACAAGAGGACTTGAGTATGCAGAAAGGAGTAAAAGTGAGAACATACGCTCATCAGCAGATGCGCCGATTACCTCTCCAGCGGCGGCGAAAGCTGTTGTTGCAGAGTCAATAACGAGATATGAGCAGGTAGAGAGAGGACACTTTTTTGGTGTGGGAGGGACGAACGGGCGTTGATATAGGGCAGCATCTTTGCAGCTTGCACTTGCAGCTAGCTAGCTGGCTAGGAGGAGTCAACAGGGGGTAAAAATGGAGCTGAACATCGCAGGGAAAAGACGAAAGAAAGGATTGAAGGATGGAGAGAGAAAAAAAGAAAGACGATATCAAAAATTGCATGTAGGGCTTGGATGGAGCTCCAAGTCGTTTGTTCCACGTTGTTGAGCTTCAACACTTTTTAGCGGACAAACGTTGATCCTGTCCTGCTGATGATCCAACGTGATGAAGATGAAGTAGACAAAGACAACAGACAAAGAGGAAGACGAGGATAAAGATAATAGTAGTGTCCTGATGAGTCTGATGAAGCTCAGCTGATAGATAGAAACGAGTATGCTACAAGAGATGCTCCAACCGATATATATGACCAAAAGAAGCCTTGCCAAAAGAGCAGTACCAGAAGATGCCACATGCCACGCTTGCAACGAGATATAATTACACACATAGACATACACACGTTCCCCCGAGAGGAGGCCGTCAGGTCGTCTTGGAGTCCGAGTCCTTGCTCGAGTCCTTGCTTGTGTTCTTGTTATCGTGTAGGATGCGAACGACATCCTTGTTGAAGATGTACTGGAGGCCAGACCAGGAGGTAGTAAAGGCGACGAGATATCTACCTCAGTCAGTAAAGAAAACGACGAAGACATGAAAGAAACAAAAAAAAAA